AAAACAATTATAACGGTAGGCGGCGTAGATGATTCACTGCACAAATTGTATCGTTCTGCATTATAAAGTTTAAAATTAAACGTTTGTGGTTGGTCATTGGCCGCTTAAGACACTGTGATAAATTTGTCCTTTTTACAATTATTTTTATTAAGGTACGGTTCCACTAGCTTCCGACCAAAACTAGTTTTTAACCGAAAGCGAAGCTTCACTCCCAGCCTTATAGTTTCTGCCGAAACTGAGAAATACAGGGTGACAGGTAAATAGGTGTAAAACATTTTAGGAGGTGATAGCACAGCTCCTTTGCTATCAAAATTAGTATATAATACCATACCCTATATTCAAAGGTTAAAAAGTTATGGAAGATTAGGCGAGTTACCGTAACGAAGAATACGCTGATATTCTGTTTTGTTATGGTTTAAGTGATGGAAATTCCGTTGAAGCCAGGCGAGAATACAAAAACCGTTTTCCGAATCGGCGAATACCGAGTCATCGAGTATTTGCTTCTGTGTACCAACGCGTCAAGGAAAGTGGACAGTTTCATGAGAGACGTCATGATGCTGGTAGACCTCGGTTGTTTGACGACGAAGTTCGAGAGGCAATACTGGAATGCTATGGCAGAGACCCGACGACGTCTACACGAGTTATAGCAAAGCAGCTTGGTTTAACTCAGTGGAAAGTTTGGTTCGTTTTGCATTCGGCAAGACTTTACCCTTTCCATTACACACCGGTTCAAGTATTAGAAGAAGGAGATCCCGCAAGAAGAATTGATTTTTGTCGATACATGCTTCATCGGGATCAAGAAGAAAACGACTATTTAACTAAAATATTGTGGACCGACGAGTCTAAGTTTGACAGAGAGGGGACAACAAATTATCACAACTTACATTATTGGGCCCCACGAGAGGCAAATCCCCACATGGCAAAGCCAAGAGCCCATCAAAGAAGATTTTCGGCAAACGTGTGGATGGGAATCATTCATACGTATCTAATTGGACCAGTTTTTTTGCCTGACAACCTGAATGGCGAATCCTATGAAAACTTTTTGAGATCCGATCTCTGGGAGTATCTCGAAGACCTGCCTCTGAATATCAGGATTTAGATGATCTACCAACACGATGGCTGTCCCGCGCATTTCCGTCTGGGTGTTAGACAGTGGCTGGACGAGAAATATCCTTGTCGCTGGATTGGTCGAGGTGGACCGACACCGTGGCCAGCGAGGAGCCCAGATTTAACACCGTGTGACTATTATTTATGGGGGCACATGAAGTCACTGGTGTACGCTGAGCCCATAGACACAGTTGAAAGAAAGAATTATTGCTGCTGCTGACACTATCAGAGGACAACTAACTGGCCGCATAACGCGTACCTACATGAGAAAAGACTACGGGCTTGCATAAGAAACGGCGGGCGTCAGTTCGAACAACAATTGCAATGAATTTTACCTTCATTTCATTATTGTATTTTACTTACCAATTGTAGTAACTTTTAGTCAGTTTTTATTATTCTGTAGTACAATTACAACTGTGTAAATAATCTAATCGTCTAACTTAACCGTAGTTTAAAATAATAACTATCCCATAGCTTACAGTTACATTATTTTCACAAAAACACTTTCTTATCAATCAAAGAGTTGTGAAAATAGGAGATAAGCCATTGGTAAATTTAGTCCCTATTGTTGTATTACAATACATTATGTTTAGTTTCACACAGTTTTTGTGCACTTATCATACCAATTTAGATTCCTTATGAAACAAGGATATTATTTAAATTGTTTGTACGTTTTTTTGTATACTGATTGTTTTGTAAAACCCCTTACTCACTGTAAAACGTTATTTGTTTTTTTAGTTAAACATTTTTGAATGAAAATAAATACGTTGTTTGGTATTGTTTTCGAATCTTTTTTAATTTATGATAGTTAATTATTGAAATAATAACCCAAAACCACAAAAAAACAAATGTTTAATCGCCAACTTTTTTCTCTCTCTACTTTTTTACTCTGAAATATGGATTGTTTTTAAAAAAATCTTAAATATTCAATAACTTTTCAACCTTTGAATATAGGGTATGGTATTATATACTAATTTCGATAGCAAAGGGGCTGTACTATCACCTCCTAAAATGTTTTACACCTATTTACCTGTCACCCTGTATAGTTTCTTTATAAAAGCAGTTAATAATTTAGAAACTCTATTTTTTGACTGATCAAGGTTGAACCACTGCCCATATTGACATGCGTAAAAAACAAATTTTGGAAACATGCCGTTTTTGATAGTGGAAGGCATTGCTTCCTTATTGGCTGACGAAGTCACCACTCGGAGTGCCACTAGTTAGTGTGATGACATCATTTTGATATACCATATATAAAATCCAAAAATAAGTAGTTATTAGTATCTGTGCATCTAGTTTACCTTACTGCTCATTAAAAGTCTATATTTTCTTTGTACTGACTGTTCTAAAAGAGACGTCAAAACGACAGCCCTTTAAAGGACGTCTTGTTGTCGTCATAAAAACGGCGTCATTTTTTAGTCAATGACGTTTCCTACCAAAAGTGACCGAATAATAACGCCATTTTGACGTCATCATGCTCACTGCTTATCGTCTGTCAAAACTATTAAAATAGAATTTAAAATCGAAAAGGTTATTATATTTTGAACTTGATTAAAAGGCCTTGTGTTGCGTTAACACCTCTCTTCTTGAAAATACAATACAAACAAATGGCGTCAAGTGGGTTGACTCTGCAATCAATTCATAAGTGCGTTAGGTGCTTAAACTATTTTTTATGAAATAAAATATGGAAAAAGTGTCTGTAATAGATTGCCTAAAGGAATCCTGACCAGACTATTTCCAATAAAATATCGAAAAAGTATGTTTTCTTTCACATAATATATAGCAAATACATCAGCTGATCTGCGCATCCTTGTATATCGCACTGGATAGTCGACATAATACGTACTCACCTGAGCTGATTCACACATTTGAATTTTTCAATTTCAAACCTTGGCAAAACCGTGATTTCGCACATATATTATACCATCGTCGTGTTTACTTATTTATTTATACACTACTCAACAGCATCAACCATTTACAGAGTAAGACACAGTCCTGGCCTCAAAAAAATAATATGATTTCATAATACAAGCAAGAGTTGGTCTGCAACCTCAAATAGAAAAAATGGAGAAAACTTTAAGATGTTTGTTCTACAGGTAGGCAAGTAAGAAGTATCAAATTGTCTAGAAAACGTGGACCAAGAAAATTAAACTTTGCAATATATTGCAGCAATCAAAACGATGTCGCAATAAATCACACATGAAATTAGCGGAACACTCATCACGCCTCTCCCTGAGACTTTCAAAGGCTTCTAAAAAATTTTGAAGGTAGCCGATTGGCGGATAACTACCATTTTTCTTGAAATGTATGTAACAGGTGTCCAGAGGGAAAGTTCACTTTTTGATTTAAGAAAAAAAAATACAAACCTAATGAAAAGAAAATATTTATTACTAACAACATGTTCGTGAATTCGGCGGGTTTTATTTCTTAAATATCATTCCGTTCAAATGTTTGCCATCCCTTCGCACACACTCTTCTAATCGCGCGCGAAAATTCTGAAACACTCTTACAGAGTTCCGGAGTGATCTTTATTTCTCGTCAAATATTGTCTTTAAGCTCCTCCAGTGTTCGTGGATTATTGGAATACACTTTTTTTTTACTTTAGATAACCCCACAAAAAATAATTGCATGGCGTGAGGTCGGGTGACCTAGGAGGCCAGTGAATGTATGCAAACTTTGATATAACTTTTTGAGGAAAAAGTGCTTTCACAGTGTCCATCGATACTCTGGAATTATGGGCAGTGACTCAATGCTGTTGAAACTATGTGTTTCTGTTAAATCGACATTCTGTCCTTACAATAGGAGCAAAAAAAGTATAAGTCATATCTTTTTATCACTCGGAATTGACTGTCAATGCATGACCGTATTTCATCTTCAAAGAAATACGGCCAATAATACCGCTAGAGAATATGGCGCACCAAATAGCCATCTTTGGACTATGTAGCTGTTGTTGATGTTTCTCTTTTGGGTTCGTTGGTCCCCAATATCTGCAATTTTGCCTGTTCACATAACCGGCTAAGTGGAAATGGCCCTCGTAATTGAAAACAACGTTCGAGTCTGCGCTGCTTAGGAAAAAGATTCAACATCTGTTCAGTACAAGATTTCCATAATACGTAATCACTTTTCTTTAAAGCATGGACTGATTGGATTTTATAAGGATGAAAAACCATTTTTTTCTTCATTATGTCATGCATTGTGCACCTAGGGATTCCCCAACAGCGGAATGCTTCCGTACAGAACGCCGGGGATTTGCAATAACCGAAGCCTCGTCTCGCAGCAAGTTGAGTTTTCAAGAAACGCAAAGATTTTTCGAAAAGGAAAAGTGATAAGAACAAAAGTAATCAGTCGTTTCATTCTTCCATAAAAGAGGAATATTCACACACAATTTAAGAGCTGTACTTATATTTGTTAACAAGTTCCAATTGAAGAAGAAATGCACAAAAAACGCATTTTTTACAGAAAAACATGAAAACATTGTTTTTCAGTCATCTCTATACACACCATGAAATTATCAGATGAAAAGGATTTCGAATACTGCTGCAAACAGGAAGCTGAAAAAAAAATCTAAAAAAGGAACGGAACCTCAAGTGACAGGATTTGAAAAAATATATATATAAATAATCGGATTGGCCCGCCATAGACGTTAAATTTGCTTCTTCTACTGGATATGGTTTTTTCACTTTCTTGTTTGAATGAGAAGCGACAAAACTTTGCGAAGACGGAAATGCAGAAAAACTAAATGTTGTTTCATTGTATGAATTATAATTACGTTTTTTCCACATACGAGTGAAAAACAGGAGTAAACTCATTTTTCTAAGACCTGTGACCCCTCAACTGATGTTACTCATTCGATCACTGGAGTAGGATTATGCATTATACAAATAAACACAGTCTAAAAGAGATGTACTTTTATTTGCCATATTAGTATAAATCTTACATGCCAACTTAATGCAATCTTAGACATAATAAGCTAAATACAACATATAGTATTATACCTCAACTACCATGTGATAATTTACTTTGACAGATAAAACATACTATTGTTTCTTCTGTATGATACTCTGTATCTTCTGCCATTCTCTATCCAAATGAGCTTTTTCATTTTTGTCCTTGTACTTCCTTGACCTTCTGCCATCAGCCATTTTCAAACCATACTGGAATGCAGCCTTTGGCAATGCTTCTTTCTGGTTCATGTAGTCAGAATACTCTTCGGCTGTGTCAAAGTCCCATCTACCAATCGGCCCCTTCTTGTTACCCAGGTCCATTTTGCTGTAGTCTACTTCATCATCACTGTCATCAATAGCATCATTCATCTCTTCTAAGCCTAATAAAATCAAAATCAAACCTTAAGTTATGTGTCGAAAAAGGTGACTGCCCACTTTGAATGAAATTTTAAGTTTCCCAAATATTAATGGTCTAGGAATCAATAGCTGGAAGTTTTGAACAAAAACACACCAGAAATAAGCGTGAAAATGGATCAAAAACAGTACACTGGGTGTCAGAGATAAAATGGAATAATATTGAAGTTGGCAGGAACAAGTTACACAGATAGTAAAAAAAAACAGTTAAAACATTTTTCCTGATGAGCTGCTTCCAAAGCCTATTGAGATATCGCAAAATTATTGCAAAATAATGACTATAATCTTACCTGGATAACATTCAGCATATCCCTCAGGCTCCTGTTGCAACTTGTTAAGGATCTCAGCAGACTTGTTGACTTTATATGTAGGAGTAGCATTATCAACAGGCTCATTTTCTGACTTATCAAAGTATGGATGTCTTTTCTTATCATGATCTTTGTCCCTATGCTTGCTGCTCCTTGTTGGTACATAATCCCCAATCTCACCATAAATGGAGTCCTCATTTCTTGGACGTTTAGCCTGTTTTTTGGGATCATTTTCAATTTCTGCAATATCATAGTCTCCACCTCCTGGCATTGCTCGCTTGTTCTTTCCCTTCTTTCTACTTCCTGCAAAAAAATATTCCATGATCAAAAAAGTCCTATAAGATACAATATATGATGTATAGACATATAAAAATGAAATAGAAAGTAATTGATAATCACCAGAGAAAAATTCAAATTCAACTTCCAACATACAGGGTGTCCGCAAAGTTGAGGTTTTCCTTTACACGACGTGTAGATCTTGAAAACATAAGCAATTTTTCTTAGTACCATATACACCAATGTCTTAAGGGAACCGAGATAAAGGGCTCTGCAACATCAAAAATATCTGAATACCGTCCTGTAGCCGCGACACGCCGGGATATCCCCGACACCCCGACTGGTACAAGGTCTCAACCCGACGGCAGAACTGGGTCGGGGTCAGTGTGTCAGGTTAGTATGCAACCTTCAACCGACGGTTACAGTCACGCGTGTAGAGGTAAATGAACTCGTATAATCGATTGCGTTTCAAAAAACAACAAGAACTAGAGACGTGGCTAGAGAAGTGCAAGTATCAAAAAATAAAGTGTGGCAAACGCTGCGTGAAGAGGGGCTGTATCCGTTTCACGTCCAACGTGTACAAACCCTTCAACCTGACGATTTTCCAGCAAGAGTGCAGTTTTGTGAGTGGTTGTTGCATCAACATGACAATAATCCGGACTTTTTGAAGTGCATATTGGTGACAGACGAATCTACGTTCACGCGTAATGGGGTGAATAACTTTCGCAACACTCATGTTTGGTCATTTTCAACAAACATTTTCGGTGAATGTTTGGGCTGGCATGGTTAACAGTATGCTCATTGGACCATTTATTCTCCCAAATCGATTGGACGGAATGCAATACCTAGACTTTTCACGCAACATTTTGCCTTCCTTGTTAGAAGATGTGCCATTAAGTGTAAGACAATCAATGTGGTTTCTGCGTATGCTCGGTAGCGCTTCAGCTGATTTCATTTTCTGTTGGAGCGGTATGATTTCGGGCAGAGACGTACTTAGCCCTTCTCGTCAACTGGAGAGTGAGTACTTTTTCCTTTATTTTTTTTTACGTGGTCGCCCTCGTTTCACTACACATTACCTTCGTTATTTCAAGGGTAGTTGTTTCTGAAAAGGAAAACCCCAACTTTGCGGACACCCTGTATAAATTGGATTTAACATAGTAATCAACATTTTCTTGGAGAGATAGAGAAACTATCTAGAGGCAAGCTATCTCAAGGCCACCCTACCTCAAGGAGGGGAACAAAAAGTGACCTGAAGCGCCTAAACCAGAAGATCATGATCAGTATCTTACCTTGTCTGAGATAACTTAAAATCTGTGTCAACTTGTTGATAACAATATCATTTGTTGTAACTGTAGTAGTCAGCTCAAAGGATGGTACATCAGCAATAGAACGAATCAGAGTAGTTGGAATATCAGTTTCAGCTTCATCATCTACAGAAGAATATAAATAATGATAATGGTACTTATGAAAAGATATAACAGGTTTCAGTCATCAATATCTTTTGGGTGTTGCTAATGATTGCTTGGGCAACTGTATCAGCTTTACTAAACAAATTTTATAATGAGTACTCTAGTTCAAAAACTATTTTAGTATTATGAATGATAAATTCTCACAGTTTATGGAGTTTTTGATTACTTATTTTTGTTACCAAAGATTAAGTCTATGTTAGAAGATCTAAGTGGTTGAATGTAAAAAAATGTATATGTTATTTTGTTCTCATTTTCATATTCAAATTAATAAATCATTTATTACCACCACATATAGAAAACTTCACAAAATCCAACAGTCATTATTATGATTATGAAACTAAGAAGCAGCATCTACAAAATTTTAACAGTAACGTAACCAGCCAATCTGTATTTCATAAGGGGGTATTTGAATTTAATGAACGGAATGGTGATATAGAGTTCGAATTTAAAAAAGTTTAAGCTGAAATTAAAAAATTACTTCATGAATACCAAAAGTGCATAGTGATTTAATTTTAATAGTCAAGAATCTAAAATTACAAAAAATTGATTAAAATAAGTAATGCTAAATAAATGATCAACAAACAAACAAGAACAGGAAATGTTCAATATCAGATTTTTTTGCTGAATGATATTCTTTATGAGACATACCCAGATCAATAACATAGGCCATCCTTCCAGGAATAAAAAGCTCATGTTTCTCAATATGTCTTGACTTCAGCATATTTACTGTATGATAAATGGATCTCCCAATCTTTGTTTTAAACTTCATTTCGTCCTCTTCTTTCTTCTGTGCTTCTTTCCTTTCCTTCTCCATCTCTTCCTGAGTCTTGCTAGCCAATCTTTCTAACTCCTGCTCTTGTTCTTGCTCGATCTGCTGTATCTCACTCCTCACCTTTTGTAAGAGAGCATAATCAAGACCTTTGACCAAGTGAGTATGCTCCATGTCACCACCCAAGAATTTTGACTCTTGGATCATCTGCCTTCTGCGTTCCGCCGCATCAAACCCAGATTTTAAATCTGGAGCTACTGCTCTGTAAGCCTGGGCAGTTGCAATTGGATCATCACTTTGATAATCAGGATTTGCGCCTGTACGTCTTTCTTTAGCTCTGTCACGGTACTTTTCTGCTAGTTCTGCCATTTTATTGTCTTCTTGTTTCTTCAACTTAGCATAGTAGCTTTTCTTCTTTCTTCTGGCTTCGGATTTATCTTCGATTTTTGGAGGAGGCATGGAATTGGGGTTGTTCATAGCCTCTTTGATAGAGCCTACAGGGGCAGGTGTATGTGCTGGAGTGGATCTTGGAGTCATCAGGAGTTTTCTAAAATCGTCGTTGGAGAGACGTTGCGAACCGGGTGTCTCGGCCATTTTTGAGGATTCTTACGGAGCACTTCAACAAAATACACTACAGCTTTCCTGCTGAACGCCTAGAATCCTGCTGGACGTGATCAAGAAGTCCAATACAATCAACTACCAGAGACTATCACAATGATCACAAGGCTTTCCCAAATATAAAAACTGAGATTTCTGCAGGCTGTTCGCCTAAATTATTTTACCAAGCCTCCCAGTATTAAATAGTAATGGTACAAATCGCCTATATATAACTTAAAAGCACATTAATAAAATATTTTTCCACAAAATATTTTTCTATTGATGCCATTAAATTGATGGCAAACAGGGAACAGACAACAGACGGAACAGACTGACACTGACATTGACTCATGGACACAGTCACACAGAACAAACGAAGATGTCTCCATCATAGAAGGTAGGAAGTGAAACTTTACCAAACTGATAAGACATGCCGGCCATCTTCCAGGTTTTCGAAATCGCTATGTCTATTGATTTTATTAACATCAAGCTCCGTGTCTGCTTTTTCGAACCTGTGCACTTCTAGAAAAAATTTGTTTGGACAAGTGGTGGAAACAGAAAATGAGGGCCATTTTTAAATTATTTCAGAACCTCCTCTGAGTGTTCCGCTTTGGCTGTAAAAAGAACACACGTATCACACTATACAGGGTGATTCACAAGTCGTCACCAAAAATGAAACATTATACACAGGACCGCATTAAGGGAGGTCTCCCACGTAACATTTTTTCCTCGAGGGCTGCATTAAAAAGATACGGGGTGTTCCAGTGCTCCAGTGGCGGAGATACAGGGGATTAGTGGCTTTATTTTTGCAAATAAAAATAGTACGCCACGTTTTTTTTCGAAACACGCAGTTTTTCGAATTTTACCTTCCATTTGCTACAAATAATTGCTCTTGTGTTTTTTCCTAGATTGCATTATTTTCGTAAAAGTAAAACAAATTATATAATCAAAGCCTTATTTCAATAAATGTCCAAAAATACCACCATTCTGACGGATACAAGTGCGCCATCTTTTTAATAAAGAAAAATGTATTCATGCAAAATTTGTTATGGCTTGAATTTGATGAATCGCGTTATTTATTTTCTTGTAACTGATCAACAGTATTAATTAGTTTAGCATATATTAGTTGTTCAAAAGCGCCTCACAAAAATAAAACCAAGGGGTTGAAATCAGGAGACGTCGCAGGCCAATGAACGGGTTCGTTTCTGCCAATCCATCGATGTCTAAAATGATTATTTAACCACGCGGTTATGTCATGACGAAGATGCGGTGTGGCATCGTCGTGCTGATATCACCAATCTTTTTATTTTTAAACTTCAACACCCCGTGATTTTATTATTATTAATGAGGCCCTCCAGGAAACAATGTTACATAGAAGACCCCCCTTAAAATGCGGTTTTACACTCCATTGACAGCATATTCAGTAATGATTTTCTCACACAGCAAATATCACTGATTTTATACACATGCACACCCCGTGATTTTATTATAATTAATGAGGTCCTCCAGGAAACAATGTTACATAGAAGACCCCCCCTTAAAATGCGGTTCTGTGTATGATGTTTCATCTTATGGTCACGACTTGTGAATCACCCTGTATGTACCTTCGTATACCACATCCATAAGAAGAATTAAATCTTTGCTATACAGTCCTTTGGTACGAGCTAGGAAAGGCTTATGCATTCTCTACAGTTCATTACTCTGTCCGTTCTGTGCTCAATGCCAACTGACAACTGACCATTATAGACAGACAGAAGGTGACTGGTGACAAACAGATGACAGAAGTTCCTTTTTGCCGTTTATTTTTTCGGGAGTAAACACGTTCATCACATCCTGAAAATATCGGCATAATCCGTAAGTATTTATATAAATTTTTACTGTAGATAAAAGAGTATTATACATTTTGATTTCGTAATAAGTGTATTTGTATAATTTGAGAAATACTAACTTATATTTTTTCTTTTCAGATCCACAATGGCCATTCGACCAGTTTATAGGCCGACTATAGTCAAAAAAAGGACAAAGAAATTCATCAGGCACCAATCTGATCGATATTCCAAGCTAAAGGTACGGCCCTTTTTACGCTAAAATTGTAATTTTATATGGACAGGCTGATTACCTGTAAATCTGATATGTTCATTTCAATAATTTTAGCATACATATTTTAGCGCAACTGGCGTAAACCCAAGGGTATTGACAACAGGGTAAGAAGGCGCTTCAAGGGACAGTTTCTTATGCCAAACATTGGTTATGGTTCTAATGCAAAGACTCGTCATATGCTCCCCACAGGATTCAGAAAAGTCCTGGTACACAATGTCAGAGTAAGTCGCTACCCCCTATTACTTACTAAACAATATACAACAAAAATTGTATTCATGTTCTACTGAGAATTGACCCAGAATGATTCAAACACATAATCAGAATGGTTCTGGAGACAGTTCTTTTTTGGACTGGTGTAAGGCAAAGATTTATTGATATAATTTTTTACGGAAAAAGTAGCCAGATAAATAGACTCTTACGGGCACAGAAATGAGCATTGAGATGCATGTAAAAAATTCCGTGTAGAGAAATATTTAGAGGGAATAAAATACTCACCATAGTGGCAATATATATTCAGGAAATATTGATTTTTACATTTAAAAATATTGTACCCAATTCATCATCTAACTATTACTGAAAAAAACGTACATTACAGTTGTGCAAAGCTTTACAATAAGTTACCCCAGGAAGTTAAAAAGTTGTCGAATATAAAAGAGTTCAAGAAATGTATTCACAAGTTACTAATGAATCTAGAGCCATATGGGCTCGATGAATATCTAGAAATGTGATACAAACATTGTGTAATGTTTAAACACTATTTTATTTCTTACATTTGTTTACTATTATGGCATTATGTGATGTATATTTCACCTGATAGCCGACATTATGTTGTAGTTGTGCACTGTTATTATGAAATAAATATTATTTATTGTTATTAAAGCGAGGCTATATAGGTACGACAGACGATGATGAGCAATTTGAGGTTAGAAAAAATATGATTGAATGCAGATATTTCTCTTTGCTTAGTAAACTAAATTGTATAATATTCCGCATAGGGCTCTAAAAGTTGAAACTATGTGACAATTTACAGGTTTTGAGAATAACTTCTGGTAAATATACCCCATTTCACAAGTATCTGCCTCGGTAGAATGTCAGATGATTATCTAGTAATATCTCAAAATTCCCCATATTGGCACAGGACACATAATTCTGACAGATCCGTGCACATCAGGTAGTCATGTGGTATTTTGTTTTGGTTTTTGTACACTACTGATTCATTTTGTAATTGCTAAAAGCTGTTATTTAGAATAAGCTTATTTGCATAAAAAAAACAAAATGCCACAAACAAGTTTTAATAGATTTATACCTGATCCATTATTGCCAATGTTGCAGACTAACACAAAAATCTCACTTACACATCAGCTGTTCACCTCAGTAGACATCAAAGTGTGATGGATACTCGTGAAATAGGGTATAAGTGGTATGTTGAAGAGCACCTGTAAAAACTGCTTTATAATATGATGGAAATGAAAGTTATTTTTAAAACCCTGAGTGTCATTCCTTAGCTGTTTAGTACCCTACATAGAATATTACACAGTTTAGTAACAACAGACAAATGTATGCTTGCAACTCAAATTGCTCATTTGCCTAATCAGCATCATCAGCCATATCTATACACAACAAAATGAAAAAAATTAAGCAAAAGTGTTGAGGTTATACTGTTCCAGGAATTCAAAAACTCTTGTTTACCATATTATGTGAAATCATGAAAAAAAAATGCATGACTGTGGTAAAAATCTAGTAATCATTGGATATCAATTATTAAAATCAATTTCATCATTTGAAAAATCATTCACTGTTCCAAGAGATGTAATTATAATATTTACTTGTTTTAGGAACTTAACATGATGTTTTTGGTAATTTGCGACTGAAGCAAAATATGTTGACAACATTTTCTGATAACATTATAACCACATCTTCATGCCCTAAAAGCATATACACATTTACTGTAATATTTTTTTTTTCTATTTCCTTCAAGGAATTGGAAGTTTTGCTGATGCAGAACAGAAAATACTGTGCAGAAATAGCACATGGTGTGTCTTCAAAGAAGCGGAAGGATATTGTGGAGCGTGCTCAGCAATTGAGCATTAGAGTGACTAATGGACATGCTAGGTTACGTAGCCAAGAAAATGAATAAGTATGAGTTTGTTTAATAAAAAAATGCAAAAAAAAGTTTTTGTTTTAATGCCAAATTCGATTCTTAAGCATACAAACAGTACAAAATACATTAAAAATATGCAGTTATCAATAGTAATCCAGTGACAAAGTTCACAATTCAAATTTGAATTACGCGGCAACCGTATACGCGAGGTAGTGGGGAGAGATCTTGACCGACGCGTGCGGACTACGGGTTAAATAGTCACAATGGAACGTTGGATCGGAGCGCTACGTGCTCTTGCTATCGAGACGTACTTTAAGAGTGGTGATTAACACGCAGCTACTCATCGAAACAACCAAGAGATGCCCCAAGTAAGAACCTATTGAAAAAGAAGATTAAGAGGTTCCGTGAAACAGGATCTATTCTTAGTCAACCCATTCCTGGCCCCACACCTGCTTGTATCAACTGAAGAAAATGTGCGTCGGCGTTCTGTACGGAAGCAATCCGTTGCTTTGGGAATCCCTAGCTCAACACTGCATGGCATAATGAAAAAAAAATGGGTTTTCCTCCTTATAGAATGCTTTAAAGGAAAGTGATTACGGAAATCTTGAGCTGAACGAATGTTGAATATTTTTCCTACGCGGCGCAGACTCGAGAACGTGGTTTTTAGTAACGACGCCCATTTTCACTTAGATGGTTATGTGAACAAGCAAAATTGCAGATATTGAGCATCAAAGAAACATCAACAACAGCTACATAGTCCAAAGGTGACTGTTTGGTACGCCATATCCTCTAGCGGTATTATTGCACAGTATTTCTTTGAAGATGAAAACGGTCATGCACTGACAGTCAATTCCGAGCCATACAAGGAAATGATTGATACTTTTCTTGCTCCTATTGTAAGGACAGAACGTCGATTTAACAGAATGGGACCACTGTCCATCCTTCCAGAGAATCGATGGACACGGTGAAAGCACTTTTTCCTCAAAAAGTTGTATCGAAGTTTGGGTTTGGAGACGATCACTGGCATCCTGGGTCACCCGACCTCACGCCATGCGATTATCTTTTGTGGTGTTATCTAAAGTCAAAAGTGTATTCCAATCATCCACGAACACTGGAGGAGCTTAAAGACAGCATTCGACGCGAATACCATTTTTTTATTATAAGAAAGGTTATGGATACGTGGTAGCCCATTTATCGTGAAAAATATATGAGTAACTATGACGTCATAATAATGGTCTAATGTCACACCCAATTGACGTCATTGTGACGTGTGATAGTATGTCGTATAAAAGACCGATTACAAAATCGATATGACGTCTTTAAATGCTGCGAGAAGATGGGGATGTAACAAGCAGTAGGTTCAGGAGTGATAGAAAGGCGCCGAAACCCATATCGGCGATCTCAAATCAATAAATACCTACCTGGTAAGTCCGAAAAATGTTAATTTTCTGATTGCATAAATCGACGTTTCGACGTTTTCGAACTTACGAGATATTGATTTGAGATCGTCGATGCTTCCCGAATAAGAACCATCGATATGGATTTTCTGAGAGCATTCCTGTATGGATACAGGAATAAAATCATAAAATCGACATTTTCGGACTACGAGTTATTGATTTGAGATCCCCGATATTCTACTTACCAACGCATTTCATTGATCATAGCTGTCCCCGTACAGTTATACCTATATCTCCTACATTCGGGCGTCGATACGTGCGAAGTGTTCCCCAATGGACAAGCATCGTCGTAGGTGATAGTCGACAATCGCTTGCGCATTGCTGTGCACTGTGTATGGTGAAGGCTAATCATGTGCGCCTGCAGCAATTCCTCTCAGAGGAAGGAATTGTTGGCTATACATATACGTAGCTACCTTTTTCTCAGAAGGGCTAACTGGTGACAAACAATCCTTTACGAACTGATTTCAGTGTAGCGTGGGAAGTACATAATCGACTTACTTGACGCCATTTTTTTACGAATATTTGTTAGTATTGAATAAAACACCATATCTCCTAAAATAAATTTATGTCAGGCAGAGCTATAGTTACAAAATAACATTGAGCTTAAATCACAGCACTATACATTGTTTCTCCGTTTGGCTTACAACATAAATGATAGGTTAATACAGAACGATAAACGAAATCAGACTATATAACAGAGTAACACTTATGCTATGGGTAGTGGCACTATTGATGAAATTGTCTCTCAAAGGACTTCTTTTCAGGTACAGCTTTCTTTCATTTAGTGACTGTAAGGATCTGTAGTTCTGCTTAAGTATCTTGTGGTCTTCTGTTCGCATTTCATCGAATACTTTCACCTAAAATCATTTTTTTTTAACTTTGTTTTTCGAAAATTACATAACCTTTCAAGCGATTTTTTTAAAAAGTTTGTTGAAATCCCGCACGTACAAGGTACAAAGGTGCTTAGTTAAACCCTCAAATAGTTGCAAGTTTAGCACGGTTTTGTCTTTCAAATTATTATAATTAGTATTTATGCGATTTTGCGTTTAAATGTTTTAGAACATATGTATTTTAAACTTTCATCACTATTTTTCTTTTTTTTTCAAAGTTCACCAATTTTTGAATATTCTACTTATACTTTTTATATGAGAAACAATTTCTACATAAAATATTCAGGGTGTCCCAAAAGTTATGGAGCAAATGAGAGGAGATGATAGGAGGGGTTGTTTGCAATCATCCGATTGTGCACGGTTTTTGAGTTATCGCCATTTCTAAGAAATTGTGGAAAATTGCTACTTTTGAGACTGTACTATTTTTTCTAAAGTCGCCTTTTGTTATTTTTCAATTAGATCTACAGTATATGTTCCTAAGTGATGTGTCGCAGGAAAAAAGCTATGAGTGAAAATTTAGTCCAGTTAATGTAGGTACAGCAATTGGCTAATCTGCAATTTTGTCTAGTGCCAACAAGATTGCAGCATATTCAACGATAGTGATACAAAACTTCTCTATACTAGCCTTTCAAAACGCCAATTAGATAATAGGAAATAGGAACCCTAAATCCGGAAATTCCGATTCTTTAAACTTAACCCTTCAACTGGCGTTGTTGATTGATTGTGTGTTGGTTTGTTTCAACTTTTGATCTTATTGTCAACGCAGAGAGCAACTCATTCATTTTTATATATAATAATAATAATTAACGTCTTTTATTTGTAATATTATTACAGGTGGCGAGATTAAGATAATATTTCTATTCTACCATTCTACCCCTTATTGTGTTCTATTATTGAATTGAGGAAAGTGTTGAGACAATGCGCTCATGTATAAATAGGAAAGTTAAAAATCCGAGAACGGACAAAAATTCCAAAATTGCGATCTTTAGGCTTTCAAAGAAAAATAAGAAATAAGAAAAAAATGTTGATGAAAGCTTAAAATACATGTTTTGAAACATCTTAGCAGATATATTTTACAGATGAGATCAACTTGATTTCTAATGTATTTTCAAGGCCGAAATATTCTCTTATGGACCCTGATCCGTTTGCCCTTAGGAGGGCTTGGGTTTCGTTGACAATTTTTATTATTCTTTTTATTTTTCCAGCATTACATTTCTGCATGTGAATATGTGAAAATTCGAAAACTCAACAAAACCTGAGATTTTTACAAAAACTAAATATTTTAAAATAAATTGACACTTCATATTTTGAGAACGAATAATTAACGGACTTATTTTCACATAAACTTTTCGTCTCAAGGATTCACTCCTTGAAGCGTACCCAGATACTTTATCAACACAATCTCCGTGTTTCAACATACCTGTTCCTTGGAAATCGGTATAGTATTCGTAAACACGGTCCAAATAACTCCCTCATTGCATGCAGGTGTTGTAAGCGATCCGTCATATCTGTAATATCCAGCTACATTTCTCGGGATGAAATTTTTGATCACAAAATTCGTCAGGTTTACAGGTTGGCCCACTTTGTCTTTCAATGTATCAATTATGCTGACAAGTGGCTCGAATTCCGCGTCGTCGTCCGGTGATAACTGCAAAACATGAAGTTTATTTTAGTACACACGGAATTTACTGTATTTTTCATAGTACTCGTAGAGGTCATTTATCTTGTTTATGAAATTCCCGGGCTAGTCTATGATAGTGCTTCTAGAAATACTGTATGTTACCACTAATATTATACAAATCTAGAGGCATATAGAATGTATATAGCCACATGACGGCAAGACTCGTTACAAAATATACAAATACACAAAACATACTTTTGTAGGAAATGCTATCGAAATAAACCTTTAGGAAAATACTTCAAAACCAATACAACACTTCGTAACAACTCAGTAAAAAAATAATGTAATACAAGAAGCTCTAAAGTTACCATTTTCTGGAAGTCTTAGGAGTGGTGTTTAGTGTGAAGTTTGAAATAATCACACAACACTTTAAAGAAAAATTAATTATATGTATATGATTATAAATTGCATTCATCAACATCGTCTGATAACTGCAATTATAATAATTCTGATTTTGATTTCTTGAAGTGTTTATCCATTGTACGTAAGATATGATAGATTGTTTGTTTGCAATATTTACTTATAAGATACTAAAGACGTAAATAAGCTGATTGGTTTGTAGTAGCCATCATATTTGTCTAAATGATTATCAAGACTTCCACAACCTTTTTGATCACTCAAAATATCTCTTGAGTCATGTGTTGTTACGGCAAAATACATGTTTTATAGACACATCTGTCTATGATGTGGTAATAAATATTAACGGCAATGGTCAGTTTACTTCGATGTATCGCTTTGTTAATTTTGTATATTGTGGCTGGAGGGTTGCAAGGGCGAGAAGCCCTGTAATAACTGGGGTACATTCAGTACCGCATCCCAATGCTGAATGAACGTTACATCATGTCATTACACATTATTATTTGTATGTATTGGTATAACTTGAATTTTTTGCGTATTTTTCGGTCTATAACACATTATACAAAACTAATAAAACAAAGACTAGAACTCTCTACTACTTCGACCATTCAGTTTAGTTTCTGTTACTGTTATGTGCTATATATTAAGGTACGCCTTGACTGGTCTGCATTGGTCACACCTACGGCACGCAACGGACTTGGTCTTGTTTATGCGGATTCATGGTAAGTATAGTGTGGGCCAGTCGATGTCTACCTTACAATATTTAAATGAAATTCATTAGGATAATAGCTAATCAAACCGTTGTAATACTTACATCAAACATTACTGCTAATACTGCTATTCCTCCTGGATGTTGTAAAGCTGCAGAAAGATTCCCAAACTCTTTTGCGTAATGTACCAAATGCAGCTCTAATGGAAATCTATAAATAAAAGAAAATCAAATTAGCTCATTTCCGAATACATTATAAATAATCTATGCAGCAGCGAATTTTTTTCTGGAACTGGAACTTCTAATCACCAAAGCTTTTTGTTTTTCGTTGCGCCGAGTAGCTACGATGACAAGGTGAAAACTTCTCGGCCTGATATAGAAATGACGCACCAATCGGTGATTTATAATTTCTGCGTGGGTGTACAAGTTATTCGTATGAAAAGCTTCAACTTGTCCTCTGAAGTAGTTTGATAAATGCAAACAGCGTTGCCAAGCCAAAAAATACGGAATAGGTAGATAATGTCGTTGAAATTAGGTAGATTCAAGGACAAAGTCCATAGGAAGAAAAAAATGGGCATATAAAATCAAATTAAAATTAAACTTTTTTTTACATGTTTTTTGACCATAGGTACATATTTATAGTCAAATGCCAGAATTGCTGACAGTACCAGAAGTCATCGTGCGCCACTGCTTTGACGCGGTACCTTTTGATCACAGCGACGGTTGCCGACATTTCACAAAGAAGCGCTGCATTTTTTAAGGCCTCCGCGTAATAGCAGTGGCGTACAATGAGTTTCGCTACTATCATCAATTTTGGTATTCTACTATAGCTATTATACATGTTGTGTTATGCGTTCAATTGTCACTTCCATTATTTTTAATTAATTTATTATATTACAAAAATTGTTAAGTGATATCTACTAGATATTAGATTGTTAATATCGAAAACCTGACTTGAGCTTGACTTGATTTCCAGTCAAGTCAAGTAGCTTGAAAATCAAGTCAAGTCGTGAATCCCTACTCTTTCATTTCGGATAGGGTGACTAGGGTGACTAGGTACTTCGACGAGGACTATCAAATACCTTTTTTCTTTTCTTTTTACTTCCTATGCCAAAATTGGCTAAAAAGTATTTTGTAATCATGAAAAATTCCAAAATGAGATATGTGTTTTGGATATTATATGACATGTACATCACGAAAAACCATGTCACTCATTTCCGTCAGTCTGCCAGTCTATCCGCTAATTTCATAACAGCCTAGAACTTGAGAAGTACCGCTCGGATTTTGAAGAAATTTCCACCCAAGGCTACTACTATGCCAAGGATGAAAAAGCTTTGTAGTTTTTGAAAATCGGTCTAGTGGTGGCGGAGCTAGTGGAAAACACATGAAAAAAATAAAAATCGACCAAACTTAGTTTTTGTCGTTTCAGAGACTCATTTTCGGAATATTTTGTGTAGGGGTTGAAACTTGGAGGTTGGGGTTGTAGGCTTTCTGTCTGTAACGCCTTTAGTATTAGTCGGAGACGTTCTATCATTAAGAATCTTCTGATCCCGGTAACAACGTGTAAAGTAAATGATAAAAAGTTCGATGTATAATGTGCTCATAAATAAAAAATAACGATTGCAAAAGGTAACAAACCCCCACTGCTCTGCGGCGGTATCGTCATTGACACTCGGTCAAATATTTAGAAATCAAAAACAAAATTAAAAATGACTGGAAATCAAATACCTAGTGAAAAGAAAAAAAATACGGCTATCGCTGCAACCCCAAGTCGATGATATTGTGTGGACCTATGCTACAAATAAAGGCTGAAGAAATTGGGAAATTGATTGGAGACTACTTCAAATGTAGTTCCGGTTGGCTAGACACGTTTAAGAAAAGACATAACATTGTTTTTGGAAAAATGTGTTGTAAGTCAGCTTCAGTTGACAAGAACGTTACCAATGACTGGATTTCTCAAGTTTGGCCCGTAATGTCCAGTGATTATTCAGATGATAACATATTCAATGCATATGAAACCGGAATATTTTATAGAATGCTACCAGATCGTAAATTAAGAGGTGAAACCTGCAATGGAGGGAAACTATCAAAAGAGCGAATAACAGTTATGATTTGTGCTAATACTTCTGGTACTGAGAAACGGAAACTATTGATAAAAGGTCAGTGAATGAATAGAAATTCATGTTCTAATTTTTCGATATTCCATGGCAGTGCTGCAAAGAATTTATTACCTTTTTTTATTTCAAAAAATTTCAAAATTACGTATATTTTTTTGTATGTACCTTTATTTATGTAATACATGTTAAACAAACACATTTTAAGCTTCTAATATGCTATTTCTGCTGCTTTTGTCATTAAAAAAAGTGTTTCTTTTAAGATGGTCGTCCGCCTATAATAGACTATTTATCACAGTCCCGCCGAGTCCATTATAAGCGGGTTGCACTGTATATTTTAACAATGTTTCGATGTTGGGAGTACGTACCACTTTAGCGCACTGCGATGCTTTTGTAAATGATGACTATATCTGCACATATATTTTTCCGAATTTTATGATCCTTTAATTTGTGTTACTATGATGGTATTTCGTCAAGTAGACTTATGAAGCCTTGATATACAACAGACACGGACTGTCAAACCGACATGAATGAGAAACACGGACTTGTATGATGCAGATGTATTTAAGCAACAGAAAACTGGTGAATTGAAGTTCGAATAATATCGCTGGAACATAGTGTTACAACGTTTCCGAGATTCCTGCTCATTTTCAGACCATATTTGGGAGATGCAAATTGTAGGAGTAGGCTGGAAGCTGTCTGCGATAAATGGCGGTAAAATGTTGCATATTTGCATATTTTATTTAGAAGTTGCTGATCTCAGTGATACTGTGCCCCTGTTAGACACAAGTCACGCATATTTCCCTACATCTGCCATGGAAACAGAAATGTGATAGATTTGCTTCATATAGTTCGATATACAGAGGTCTAAGATCCACCTAAGTGAACCTACTTAATCACGATTCGATTTCGCCTTTTGAAACGATTTGACTCCGGGAAGTATAGAGTCAATCTACTTGATGTCATTTTTTTTTATTCATCTGATGTTTTCCTTAGAAGGAATTGCTTAGTATTTGTTTATTTTATTTTGGAAACGTAAAGTACCTACACAGTAGCAGCCCGTATCTCCATATTATTACAGATGTTTGTAATTCGAGAGATTCCCTTTAGATTATAGGAGCTCAGGATTGGAGCAACGTCATAAACGTGGAATCTCGTAAATCTCGTTATTCCGGGAATCTTACCTATATCGATCGATAACGTGCTCAGATTGCCAATGGAAATGCAAGTGGTCCAATTTATAGGTGTGATTGAAACCTCCTCCACTTATTGACGGTTTATCTCCTGACATCTTAGGCCTGATTTCAGCTGAAAGTCATTTAAGATCACTTAGTAAGTTATCTGATAAAACATCTTATATCGAGTTCAGGATATTAGATTTGTAAATTGTCGTTACAAAAAATGTTAAAGTAAACACGATTTAGAGATTTTTAGATTCAGATCTTTAATTATATGAGACCGTGAAAAACTTGGATTGTGCCAAAACATAGCATTTTATAGATCAGTGGAATTGGACATAAAATCCTGTATCTTGTTTGTAAAAGAACTTTGCGAAAACAAAAACTTCTGTTTCATGATCCAGAACTCGCCACGTTCAGCTAGATCTTATTTAAATTCGGAGAGATTCTTTTGGGGAAAAGAAACAACTCCCGATTTAATAAAACTTATAGTCAAATGCCAGAATTGATGACAGTAGCAGAAGTCATCGTGCGCCACTGCTTTGACGCGGTACCTTTTGATTACAGCGATGGTTGCCGACATTTCACAAAGAAGCGCCGCATTTTCGCGTAATAGCAGTGGCGTACGATGAGTTTCGCTACTGTCATCAATTTTGGTATTCTACTATAGTACATGCGGTACGCAAAAAACGAGTATAACATTTTGTCTAGGGAGTTCAGATGTTGTACATTCGACAGTCTATTCCGTAGATCTTTTGTCAGTAATTCCTATAGATATGCTCACCTGAATGTCCATTATTTTTCAGCACAGCTGTCACTGACTCTCCATATCCGTTCAAAGAGAATGGTTCAAAATCAATCAGAGTTGCATCTCTAGCATTGAGTGCTATCGGTGATTGATGTTTACCTTCTTTACATCCTTGAGGCCAGTGTTCTAAAAATGGCTTATAATAATTTAAAACTATATTTAACTATAGAGCACCATACCTTCATCCTGATAGTGCCATGAGCTAGCAGATGACTCGTATCCTGCAAAGAAATGTGAGTTCAGTGTTGCAATAATAATAGTTATTTTATTAAAGCCCATGGTACGACCTGCCGCGGCCTCTAATGTGCCAAGGGTGTTCCTTAATGATATGCGAATATATAAGAATGTGAATCTAGATGAAAAATTAATGTTAGTTTGCTTTATAAACTATGGTCCAAAAATGTTTCCTTACAAAAACTCGGGTTGTTGAAGTTTTAGGAAAAAAATGGAGATGAATTAATATTTTCAGAACCGCAACAGATATTTCATTGATATTTAGTACGTAATGAAAGTTAATAAAATTGCATATTTTTCAATGCAAAAATAATTTTTAGCTTCAACAGTGGCGTGCGTACGGGTATTGACTTCGATATTTTTTAAGAAAAAAATAGTACGCCAATGGTTTTTTGCCAAATAACAATTTGAATTCCCCGTTCAATTTAAAACAATTGATCTTTCTTGAATTGTTTCCCTTCGATGCGCCATTTTTGAGTAAAAAAATAAAAACCGTTCTATTGTCCGAGAAAATTAATGTAATAATTGAAGAATGCAATTTAGCAATAAACATCTAGTTGCTCTGGAATATGTCACTGGCTTTTGACATCTGACAAGTCTCTGTTATTCAAATCCTTTTGCTGTGACATCTTTTTCATTATTTAGTTTTTACAATCTTGTTAATAATGGTGAATTATTCAAATGCAGAAATGGCGGAAATGCATTACGTATATGGCCTTGCCGACGGTAATGGTGAGCAAGCCAGACAGATTTATCACCAGAGATATGCCGATCGTGCTTTGCCAGATAGTCGAACCTTTTCTAATATTCATCGTCGTCTTGTTGAAACTGGTTCTGTCCGAAAAGGAACATCTGAAGGTAGACCTCTAAATGTGAGAACATCTGAAATTGAGGAAGCAGGGCTGCACGTAGTCGAAGAACATCCTGAAATGAGTACGAGGAAGACACTTAAATATTTGTCATCAAATTGTTTAGAGAATTTTAATGGGTTTTTTGTTATATCCTCACGATATTTTAAGAGTATAGGCATTACTTCCCATTGATTTTCCAAGGCGTGTGACCTTTTGTCAGTGGTATCTTCAAAAAATTACACAAAATCCGCAATTTGAATCAATGATTCTGTTCACGGACGAAGCTAATTTTTCTCGAAATGCCATTCAGAATTTCCACAATAATCATTTGCGGGCAGAAGAAAATCCCTATGCCGTAGCCGAAACCCATTTCCAACACCAATTTTCGGTTAGCGTATGGGCAGGAATTATTGGCAACCACTTTATTGGCCCATTCTTCTTGCCGGGACGACTTACGCACAGACCTCAATTTTTTTCAACAACAGTTGCCTTTTCTGCTTGATGATGTTCCGATAGGAATAAGAAACAATATGTGGTACATGCATGATGGTGCACCAGCGCATTTCAGTGTAGCGGTTCGTAATTATTTACAAACTGTTTATCCAAATCGTAGGAATGGTCGCGGTGGGCCCCAAGAATGGCCACCAAGGTCCTCAGACCTCGACAGTTTAGATTTCTTTTTGTGGGGCTATCTTAAGGCACTAGTGTACACAAGGCCCATTAACACTGTAGAGGAATTAAGAGAAAGAATAGTTGCAGCTTGTGATAGAATAAAAATCACTCCAGGGATATTTCAACGAGTGCGCAATTCCATGAGAAGGAGGGCGGAAGCATGCATACTAAGTGAAGGGGCCCATTTTCCACAATTTTTGTAATCATTTCGTTGGTTTTAATGTTAGGCTTATGTTGTCAGTAATTGTTATTCATTACCCCTAATGTGTTTAATTTTTCCAATTAAATTAATAATAATTTTGCAAGTTAGACAATAGAACGATTTTTATTATTTTTACTCAAAAATGGCGCATCGAAGGAAAACAATTCAAGAAAGATCAATTGTTTTAAATTGAACGGCGAATTCAAAAATAATTTTTATTTCGCAAAAAACCATTGGCGTACCATTTCTTTTTTAAAAATATCGAAGTCAATACCGGCAAGCACGCCACTGTTAAAGCTAAACATTATTTTTGCATTGAAAAATATGCAACTTTATTAACTTCCACTACGTACTGAATATCAGTGAAATATCTGAAGCGGTTCTGAAAATATTAATTAATTTCCATTTTTTTACACCCTTAAATATTCGCATATCATTAAGCGCGTATCATACACCTGCGATATCCATATACAAAATTTCATATACGACCGGACATGGGGTAAGCATTAGCATTAAAGTATCCACGAAAATAAATAAATTGACTGTACTATAGCAACAAACAAATATAGAGAGGTCCCGATGAGCCAATTAATATAATGATGGGAGGTGTAGTTATCACAAAATATAAATGAATGAGTACAATACCATAAGCTCATGTGCAAAAGGAAAACGTAGTCCACGAATAAGTACCGTAAAATACATGAAATAAAAACAAAAAATTTTTAGCTACAAAGTTTGTTCACTGTTCCACCTATCGTAATAAATTTTGAAGCTACTGACTGACGTAGCATTAACCACATTTTCTGGTAAATTCTTCCAAGTGTTAAATATGACGTTGGGTTCTAAACGGCTCCTTTTGCAGTTTAAAGCTGTGACCGCGGAGATTGCTGCGTGACAGTTGGTACAGGTGCTTTAGATTGGTTCCAATCAAGTCATGAAGTATTCTAAAAGTAGTTATGAGATCGCCTCGAAATCTTGGGTCGGAGAATGTGGTCAAATGGAATAACTCGGGGCGATCTTCGTAGCGGGGTTCAAGGAGATTTCTGTCGCCCAAGCACAGTTTCCCATACAGGGCAAAGTCTTGAAAGACCTCTCCAGCATGTATAAAAGCTTCTTAGCTTTGATTGTTAGGTGGTTTATATGCTCTGGCCAGGATAAACGGTCGTTGACTACCACGCTAAGATCAGTATGACTAGAGACGGCTTCGATGGTGCGAGCAGATATCTAGTATAGGAGCCGCGGATTAGTTTTCTCAAGGTTCAAGACACAACACTGTAATAAGTTCAAGGGTAAAACAATGTCAAGATCACACTGATACAGAGCAGAGTTTGTAACGGTGTGGTAAATCTTCGTGTCATCGGCATAGGCTGGACATGTGGATGACAGCAAGGCGGGCAGGTCACTTAAATACAAAAGGAAAACCTATCACTGACGCGGACAGAAAAACTTCTCCCTGCGAGGAAAGCCTCGATCCACTGCAACAACTCGCCTCTAATTCCAAGACGCTCCCGATTGAAAAGAAGTCTTCTTTGCGGGACGCGATCAAAAGCCCTAGAGAAATCTAGATATATTATGTCAACTGGAGTGTTTGTGTCCAGAGACCGTCCAATCGTTGAGACGGTGAAGAAGGGGTGATTATCGACCGACCATGGATATGAGATCATTTTCGAAAGAAAATTTAATGTTAAGGGCTGGACGCTAGAGCATTAAAAAGCTCGTGGACTGAAACAATAAAAAACTTAATAGTGTACTCGTTACCGATCGTCGTAGATAATTAATATCTTTGAATGATTTGAGGATTTTCTTGGGCCCACGTGAGAGTATTATGGAAATTTAATATACCGTCTCGCGTAAAATTACATTCGTCCGTCGCTAGGATGTTTTTAAAAAAATCAGGATTTTCAATGTCTTTGTGCAAAAACCACTGACAGAATGTTAGTCTGCGAGGATAGTCTTCTGGTAACGAGGCCTGCACACGTTGTACATGGTAGGGATAAAGCAAATTTCCCCGTAGGATTCTATAGGCTATGGTATGCGATAGTCCTACGCGGCGGCCTAATTCCCGAGTGCTGATATCTGCATTGATTTCCACGATATTTAAAATTTGTTCCTCATGCTCTACAGTAACCTGTCTTTCACGAGTGCGAATATTAGTGGGCTGAACACTTCCTGTATCTCGAAGTCTTTGGTACACTTGCACAAATGTCCTTCTGTCTGGGTGTACCGGTTGGCGAAACCTGTCGCGATACATTTGAGCTACAAGATTTGAATTCTGACGAGCTTCACCGTAAACTAACAACATGTCGGCGAACTCTTGATTCGAGAACATTGTAACCAAACACGAGTACGCGAACAAAAACAAAACACGCCCGATGCCCGATAACTAACCGCTGTTACTGTTTGCGATCGATTGCCGACTCGATAAGAGTGATGACGACGTGCTGTTGTCATGTGTGTTTTAAATATTTAATTTAATGAAACTTACTTACTTACTGACTACAAATTTTGGCTTACTTAGAAAAACTTAATGCCAATTAGTAAGATTGTGGTCGATATGAAGCACTTAAAGTTGTAAACTATAAAGCCATTTAGACAAAAATCCATTGACTTTTGGATCATGGGTCATATGAACTTTTTGACTTGTTTTGACCCCTCCTATTACCCATTCCAATAATGACTACCATATTTACACCCTGTATTTCTGTTTTTAACTTTTAACATTTATTGCAAGTTTGCTCGCCTATTTACCTACAAAAAATATACATATATATATATATATACAGGGTGACTTTGAAGTCGAGTCATTAATTTTCAGATAATGATTGTAGAAGGAAGATAAACCAAAATATGTGTGTAAAAATAAAAAAAAAAAAATAAAAAAAATGTTACCTTGTTTTATAAAGTATCCTCCCGACAACTATTTCAGTGCGGCCCTGTATTTGATCGTGAGGTCCCCTCTGAGGTCTTAAGTCACCTGATTCACGAGCCCGTTGTACTACATTAACAAAGGCACGAGGGGTTGGTTGCACTCGATTGGGAAACCGATTCGCACAAATCTGTAATGCCGCGGCAGCATTTTGTAAAGACTCCCCCCCCCCCCCCCCCGTAAATAAGAATCATGTCCACAAGTTCAGCATTTTCGTAAACGTGTGTCATTTTTCATTTCGTTTGAATCACGCAACAAACACCACTATTCACTCACGCGTTACTGACTGACGAAAAACATCGTGATAAACGTTTCAAATTCTTTCGCTTTTTTGTT